GCGGTTCCCAGAGATTCACTTTAATTCAAACGCTTCACCATCACATGTATTAAACCACCGCATGTTTAAAAATGGACACAGGACTCTTTCTCATTTGACAGAGTTTAGTTAAAGTGCCCCTGTAGGCATTTTAAAATGAGTGGGGGCTTAATACACGAGATGGTGAGGCAATGCTAGTGCGTTCTAATTAGAATGCGGAGGGGGCTAAATGAATCAAGTCTCCTCCGATGTGTTCTAATTAGAACACCACCAAGCACTTGTATAGGCAGCCTTAATTTTGTTCCTGCCTGCAAAGTGATTCTTTCCCCACATTGTGGCAGGTTAGGAGCACTGGTTGATATTTTAGTTTTAATGTAGTAAAGGAGAGCTTTGTCCTTTGTTTCAACAGGATCAGGATTTGACTTGCAAATTGTAGCATATCTCCATTTCAGTCATTGCTTTAATATTTAAATCTGTGCCTCAAGGGTAAAGAGATGGTAAGTTTGATTATGGTCAAAATTTGAAGACCAAAAGTAACACTGCATGGAGTTTTTTTGTATTTTTTAATGCAATACCCATGGGCATTTCTTGTGTGCTGCCTTGATAAGCCAGTTCACTTTTTAGGCCCCCAGCAAAATTCTGGAGACTGATGCAAACACCTTGCAAAAAACCTTGGTTCTCAAGAAAGAGATTGAAGTCGATCGTGTCACAGCAGAGCTTATTGCTAAGAGGCAAGAGTTTAGAGAGCGGATGGAAGCTGTGGCCCGACGGAGAGCAGAGTTCACCAAAAAGCAACAGGATGTAAGCATCATTTCCCATCTATATTATGAGAAAGAAACCATGAAACCTCTTCCTTTCTTATACCCAGGCCTCTGTTCCAGTTGTTTCTTTTGCAAATCTGCCTGTGGGTGTGGTGTAAGCAGTGGTATATCTGAGCACTGGACAGTCTGCAATCTGATATTCCTCCAAGGGGACACAGTACACTCTGATCCTAACCACAGGGACAGGAAGGTTTTTTGTATTGCTCTATCAGCAGTAAGGCCTCCAACTGCTCCCCTTTCTGTGTATGCTGTAAAAGAGATAGGGCTGGCTACAGTAGTGACATGGGTGCTGGTGTCCATTATACTCTGGACACCTGATTCTCTATCTAAAAGCAACACATGGAAACAAACTAGAGGCTTGGTAGATTGGCTAAAAGTTTATGAGCACAATGAAGATAAATCCATCAAGCTGCATTTATGCAGACTTTTCACTGATTTTCATAGGTCGCTCCCCTGATAGGATGTGGCATCAGTTTGTTAAATATGCCATCTCTTTTTTTTTTTTGCCAGTGCAGGACTCAAGCTCTTAAATTTGACAAGTTTCTTAAGGACACTGCTGTGAAGAGGCGGTGTGCAGTCCAGAAATATCAAGCAGAAGCAAAGCTGAATGAAATGAAAGAGAGAGAAATAAATAAATTGGTTGCAGAGCTTGAAAAGCTGAGAGTCAGGTAAGTGACCGATCATCTGAGCTAAGCTACAGATTTTGCTTTCAACTGTCCATTTATAGTGTTCTGCTGCATTATTTTGCATGGTTTTTTCTGACATGTAAATGTTTGTGGCTTAGAAATCTAACTTTCAGGTTTGCAATACAGTATCTTGTCTCTGCAGGTTCAAATAGTAACAAAAGCAGTTCAGTTTCTCATCCTTCTCAGGTAGGTAATTTGAAATCCGTGCAGTATACCAGCTGTAAAAATAGAGCTAAACTCAGGACAAGCCCTCCCTTTCAAACACTGTCACATTGCTGAAAGCTGGATCTGAAAGTCCAGAATGTTGTAGGTTGGTACAATTTTTGCTTAATGGTGATATTCAGCAGTCATAATCAAATAGCACTTTTCATAAGACCCAGATTTTCCATGGGCCCTTTGGTCAACATTTCCTTCCTTGCAGTCTGTAATTTTATTCTGTGGGCTGGTTTTGCCATGTTCCACCCTAAACCGAAACTGCAGCTATTAGAACAGGCAACTATTGTGAACTGTTTGAAAAATTAATATCCCTCTCATTAGCTTGTGAGTGATACTGGAAATAGGAGGCAGTCCGTAATGATTATGTCTTCCAACCAGGGCACAGAAGGAATACTGTGTGACTTAGGTGACTAAACAAAGAGCTTGAATGTTGTATGGTGTACTCGGAGTACTTCTAGGAACCACTTCGCAACAAACCCATGGGCTGGAAACTGTTTTTAATAAATACTGCTTGAACAATTAAGAATAGCAAACAAATATGCCAGTCAGAAATTATTTATGGATGTGTAAACATTGCTCTGAATATTGCTAATTATTTGTATTGCTGTAGCACCTAGGAGCACCTAGGAGCTCCAGTCATGGACAGACTTCACTGTTCTAGGTGCTATACAAATGCAGAACAAAAAGAGAGCCCTTCACACGATAAGCTTGAGAATAAAGTTTTAAAGTATATGCATGCAGGTTCTGAAGCCCCAAAGGTTCCTGTTGGGAGCTGAAAACAAGGGGATATTTCCAAGTTCTATCAAAATAAACCACATCAGGAACCTCCCTTGTTAATAAAAATGGAAGTGCTGCAGAATTACTGCCTGGCTCCACAAGACCCAGTGATAGACTGCTGGAGTTGGGAAAAATAAATTGTGTTGGATTGGTAGAACTGGGTAGGAAAGAAATTCTGCTTGCAGGAATTTGCATAACATATTATTTACTTAGTTATACAACCAGGCAGTCATTTCCTTGCACAGGATTAAGCAGGATTTAAGTTACTGTGGACTGACACAGGATTAAATTCCTATTCAAAACGTCTCAGATTCCTTCTCAAAATGAGTTAACATGATCAGGATCAACCCAATAGAGGATTTATATATCTAGAATGTAGGTGCTGCAGTGTCTAATTTCCAGGTCTTTGGCCTCCAGAGTTAGTTATCTATGCTCTCTATACAGTGCATGAGAATGATGTGCCTCAAAATAGTACTGCAAAGCACCCCCATGCTGAGGGTAGAGAACCCAGGAGCTAACTAATAGGAAACACTAAGAGCATGGGTGTGTCTGAACTCCCCTCGCTCTGCACCTTATGTGCCTGCATCAGGGGGGCAAGCAGACAGGCATCTCTGTCCACACAGGATCCAGAACCTTGAATCCTTCCCTAAGGGTGGGCACTTACACCTGTTCTTTGCAAGAACTAAGCACAGCTTGCTATTTTCTTTCAAAATGGTGTTAGTAGTGCCCACCTTTTAGCAAAGGGTCTTGTGGTCAGATCAGTTCGCCAGGAAGTGGGAGGCCCAGGTTCTCTGTTCTCTTTGACCTGAGATGGGTCAGACCCCCACCTTCCAGGGTACCCGGTCACTACCTGGAAAGGGGATGGGCCTAGACAGTTTATGGGCTTTATAGGGACTGAAGGACACCTTGGGGCTGGTGTCCTTTGGCATTGATCTTTGGTGGGGATGGGGTGGGGAGTGTTATCATATTTCTTTTTAAAAGTGTTTAAACTGAATAATGCAGGGGTGTAGGTTGTAGCCGTGTTGGTCTAAGGACATAGGCAGACAAGGTTCCTTGGGTGAATTTGATATCTTTTATTGGGTTGATGTAATAAAAGATATTAAATTCACCCAAGGAACCTTGTCTGCCTAAACTGAATAATGTGTTTCTATGAATTGTCAGGAAGTAGAGAGGGCAATCAGTAGGTTTTAGGGACAGCTACGGCCCTCCTGTGAGAGAGGAGGTATGGGTTTGGGAGGGACATTAATACAAGTGGTGGACTCCCCTGGATGTGAGGCAGAGTGGGTAGAGGTGGGAAGGGGTATGGGGAGAACACATTGTTTATGGGTTTTTTTTATTTCTGAGGTAATGAATGGGGGCTGGGAAGTAAGGTTGGGTTGGGCAGGGGACATGCTACTAAGTCAGGCAGGAGAGCGGGGGTGGGTGGGGGGGGATAGAATGATTTTGAATTTGGGGACATTTTTTGGTGAGTCTGTGGGGTTTTATACTATCTTATTTTAATATTGCATTCTGTTAATTATTGTAAGCATCCCTGAGCCTTTTTTGTGAAGGTGGCGTATGCATCTGGTAAATGCATAAATAGGCTGTAGGGTATCTTGGGATGGTGAAAAGAAAAGGGACACCCTGCATGGGTCTGTGTTGGAAAGCGTGTCAGAATCATGGAAAGAGTGTCAGAATCATGGGCTGGTGCACAAGGCGTGAGCATAAGCAGCAGCCCGTTTAAGGCACTGGGCTGGCAAGGAGGTGCCCTGGATTCTGACTCCAGCTCTACAGACTATTTCTTCATTTTACATTCAGTGATGAAATACAGAAAGAGTCCTGGATCCTTCACTTCCTTGGCCAGTGCTCTACATTACTGTAAAGCAGGGTGGTGGTAGCAGTACCACCAACCCCACCTCCTTGTTCTCAAGTCAGCCATGATTTGAAATAAAGTGGCTAAACCTGCCTTTTGTGAGGGGCGCAAACCTGCCAGTGTGTGGTAGATATGCTGTGAGAACACCTACTGGAATGGGCCCTCAGGGAGCTTTAACAGTAGATAACTTAGTACCCAGATCTCAGGGAACTTTAATAGTAGATCACTTAGTACCTAGACCCCAACTGAGTATAGAAGATTGGTGCTGAGCAGCTCAAACTTTGGCACTTGTGAGCATGTGCAGAAGCAAAACTTGAGGCACCTAGAGAACTTCAGAGTCCAACATGGAGACATCTAGTAAGTTAAGAAATCTAAGGGGTTAGGTGGCAGGGGTTTTCTGGATGGCAGAAAACTCCTTTAGTTGCCTGAGACCTTACTGTGTCTCTGCTATTGGAAGGGTATTTCAGAACTTCACTCCTCCAGCTCTTGGAAATCTTTCTCTAATTACCAGCCTACATTTTTAATGGTCAGTTTATAGCCAGATATTCTTCTGCCAACATTGCTCTTTAGCTTAAAGAACTCTTCTCCCTTCCTGTTGTTTATATTACTAATGTATTTCTAGAGAGCTATTTTGTCTCCTCACAGCCATTATTTTGGTAGGGCCTAGTAGCTATGCTAAACCTATGCTAAACCCAAAAGACCTATGCAAGCCTAGGTCTTTTGGGCTAGGGACAGAAATTATACATAAACCGGTATAAGAGATTGGAAACTGGTTCAAATCTGTAATGCAACAGAAGTTCATTGCACATAAACCCCTTGCAAAATGTCCAAAGCTGATTTAAGATAAACCTGGATGGATGTAGTATCAGATTTGACTGATTTAGATTAAACCAGTTTATTCAACTTCTGTCCCAGATCCCCTCCAGATTCAAGCTAACTCATATTGCCCCCTCATACCAGGATGCCTTGCCTGCCCACCCCTCCTTGCAGGGTGGGCAGGTAGCCCTGGCCCAAGCTGTCTGCTTCAGATTACCAGGGAGGTGTGCTCTAGGACCCCTCCACCCCTCCGGCTTCTAGTCTAGACCACTGCAGGTATGTGGCTGCATTTCTGGAATCAAAAGTGAATGTCTGTTCACTTGCTTATTGGTTCAATCTATGCAGTTTAGAGTAACCTGCAAAGTTTGAATTGATTCAGCCTCGGGCTTTTTGACTGTCTGTACTTAGCCTTAGTTTCCTGGCTGTCAGCTCCCTTAATCATCCTAGTAGCCCTTCTCTCCATCTGCTGCATTTTTACTTCAACTTTCTTTGAACATGGGTGGCAAGTATTGTATACAATATTACAGGTAGGCTGTCACCAAAGTGCTTTGTACAATGACATTACTACTTCCCTGTCTATTGGAAATATTTCTCCAGTAGTAGTAGTGGTACTAATAAATATTCAGAGAAATGTTGGGAAGCTGAACATTTGAGCACTTTTGGATCCTCAGAGGAAAGATGCTATGTCATGTATAAGCCAAATCAATATTCATGTTGTTATAGGAATGCTTTTCCTGTGGCAGTTTGCATCAAAATGCTTATTTGACATAAAGTATTCACATAACTAGCACTCCATGTTCTCATTTGTTTTATTTGAACTTTCTTAAATATCTTTGCTTATTTTTACAGGCAACAGAAACTGCAGAAGAAAGTGGAAAAATACAAAGTGTATGAGGATTTTCTACTGAAAATAACTGATAAGTTGCCTGACAGTAAGTGCTGCTGGTTCTTTTACTGTAATAATAGTAACTTTCACTGACTCCTTTTCACTGTATCCTTGCCAAGACATCTAGTTAGCAGCAGCGGTGTGTGTCTTTAAAAATAAAGGCAATCCATGTGTGACAGACCTCCTGCCAGCTACTGTTTCACAACCATTTCCTCTCTATTAAGCAGGACAGTGACCATCAGAGAGACACACTTGAGACAGGGCAGTGGGTTAGATCCATATTGTTGTGACCCATGCTGTTTATTGGGTAGGCAGTATAAAGATCAGCATATTGGGTGAATTAGTCTTCCTTGTAGGAGAAGAAAAGATTGTAATGTTGTTTTGGTCTTCTTGGCACTAGAAGGTTAGCATAATCCAAC